CAGTAAAATGTTCACTCGGTCGAGACAGTTGGGTGAGCGAGTCACATACTCGAGCGCTCGGCCGAGCACTCGGCGTAATGTTCATACACACCGAGTACTCGGCCGAGAGCAAACATTTAAAATGTTTACTCGGTCGAGACTCGAGACAGTGATGTAAACGAGTAGCTGTTCACACGTGTTCTGAAATTAGCACAGTCAGTTCAGTTCTATTGAGACTTTTCTTTTTCTCTAATCGGTGGACGTGACGTCAATCACTTGGCTGAGTGGCGAGTGGCGAGACAGTGCGAGGCAGCGGGAGGGTGGATACTCGGCCTAGTAAGTTGAACGGGAGTCGAGCTACTGTCTCGCCCGATTACTCGGTACGTGTGATCAAGGCTTTTTGCTTGTGTCTTACCATTTAGGGAGTACTGTTCTCTTTTTAGCAGCAATGGAGAAGTTTCGTGATGTTGAAAACATTATATTTCACTGAATGGGATGGGATTAAAATGTAGACCAAAACTAAAACGCCGGTGAAGTTATTTTTGAAATCCATCAAGAAATCGCTGAGAAATTAATTATTTAAATTACCTACATATTTTCGCGTGGAACTTAGGCCCAGAACAGACGGTGAAACGCAACTGCAACGAAACTGCAACTTTCTGATGATTCTGATGTATTAAACTGAAACTGAAAGTTTCAAACTGGTCGCGTCATGTGTGGTCTCTCAGCGGACGCTATGGCAGAAACTAAGATGCAACTCAAAAGTAACTAGCAGTTGCAGTTTCGTTTCAGTTGCGTTTCACCGTCTGTTCTGTGCCTTTGTTAAACAAAGGCGGTGCCGTAACGTCAGGCCAACTGTTCCCCCCTAACCCTAACGCATTGTCGAGAATGACACTATAGTGACATTATAATGTCTGTCTTCTTTTTCTTTTTGTATATCCAGGTCTTGGATATGTCAAAAAATGTTACACAATTTTACTAAGAAAGAATCTTGAGTAACCCTGGCTGAAAAATTAAAAGCTTGGATCTTGGATTTATAAAAAATTGAATCTTTCAACAGCAATAGACCAGGAGTGATTCACTGTTTGTACTCCAAATGAATGGCGTGAAGTCACCGTTCAAATGGCGCGAAATATTTGTTATGCGCATCCTTAGGACCATGTACCTAACTTCTTTATTTGTATTTGTGTTTTAGAGATATTTTCATAATTCTTTCACCAATATTGTTGGTTTTACTTATATTTTCAAGTTTTATTAATAGAAAAAAATTGGAAACTTATTGTCGCTCAATCTGGCATGGGGCATCTCATATGTCACGTGTTGTATGTTAACAGTAATACGCCTGTTCTAAAGTTAAGAGAAAATAAATATGAAGACCTGCGTCAACGTATAACAAAGGTACCTACCATAAAATATTCTTTGTCGTTTTGTATTTAATATAAAAAATACTAAGAATAACCAAATAGAAGTAATTTATTGGACATGCATGATTGTATTGTTGATTGATATTTGTCTTGACATCTCAATGTGATTTTTTTAATTAATAAAGATCAGTAAAAGAATTTGATTGTATGATGATTTCACTTAAGTACCTACAACTACAAATTAAGGTAAACTTTGTTGTATTCTATGTAGTTTATTTAAAATTAACTTTATTGTATTGTACAAATTACTAATATTATTTTTTAATTTTTTCAGTTAGCATTTATAAATTATGGTCATGTCAAGAGTGAGTTGGTCACCGCAATCATAAAATAGATAGGAGGTGAAGTCAATCTAAATACAAAGTGCGCTCGGGCATAGACAACGCTCATAATCGCAAACCAGTCTAAACCAGTGCGAGCGCGAATGCCACCCGCTTGAAACGCGTCTGTGTGCATATTCAAAATGAAGTACATACAGGTGATTGTCTATTACTATCTATTTTGTACCACAATAAGTAGTCCATTGCAATAATGACTATTTTGCATCAAAAATGTAAAGTGCTCTATGTAGGTTACAGTCCGTTTAGAGTAATTTATGAGTAACTAGCTTTCCGCCCGCGGCTTCGCTCGCGTGAAATTTTGTATGTCACTGAAAAACTTTATCGGGTGAATTCGGGTGACGTCCCTGTTTCAAAAACCGGGATAAAAACTACCCTATGTCCTTTCCCGGAACTCAACTATCTCTATGCCAAATTTCATCAAAATCGGTTTAGGCGTGAAAGCGACACAGACAGACAGAGTTACTTTCGCATTTATAATACTAGTAGGGATTATAAGTAGGTAAGTATGAATATAAAATGAAACCAAAACATTTTTCAACAAATCTTTAATGAGATTCTTTGTCCTTTTTCTTCATTCGAAAACGAATGTTTTACAGATTCACTCATCAACTACTTACACTAGTCACTATTTCATTAATTATAATAATGCAAAATAGGAATTATACATAACTATTATAGATCCAATAGTTGTATTACCGTCATTTTAACATTTCATATTATAAAATGCGTCATAATAAAGTTTGATCATTAAAAATGCAATCATAAGAGTGTACCTATAGTTGATCGAAAGTAACCATTAGTCTTATACTTTCTCCCATACTTGATATTGTCACAAAAAATCACGATTTTTTTCCAAAATTTCAATATTCACTCGACATATTTTTTGTCAATTTTGGAATTTTCACTGATAAAAGTTGATTAATTATAACACCTAGCTAAAACAGTCAATGACTCTTAATTTTATTATTAATTAAATACCTAAGTTTTAAGACTAAAGCCACGCCATGGCCGTTTGGAACCATTTCTGCAAGTCGTGGTTCTTTTTTTCTTCAATTATGGCTTCCTGCGCTTTGCACATACATATTTTTATTATAGCAAGAGAGATAAAGTTACAAAGAGTGCTGTTAATAATGATAGATAATCATATTTTTACTGTGACCATACGCGGACATCTTGAGAGAATTTGAAGTGATGTGGTCCTGTTCTGTTTTGTTCGCATTTTCATTTATTAATTTTTTTAATTGTTTTGTTTTATTTGCCTGCACTAATACATGTTCACACATAAGTTAATTAGTTACCTGCCATTAAATACATAAATTTTAGAAAATAAAACAAAACCGAACATGACGCTTCACTTTCTCATCCCCACGTCATATTAGACAGTATAAATGCAGTTGATACTGCACCTAAGTCAATCAAAAAAGGTCCTTATACCGTAGATATCACGGTACGGTCATAAAATCATTTTGCAACCAAAGATTATTCAATTAGTCAAAAAATGACATATCATAGCAACACTTTGTTTGTTTGCTGAAGTCTATTATGTAAAGAATTTCAAGTTTTCACGGCGAGAGTGAATAGGCACGTACAGGGCAGATATGTACCATCCTAGACTGCATCTCACTTAACACCAGGTGCGATTGCGCTCAAATACCTGCCTTGTCTAGCATAAATTTTTTTTAAAAGTGATGTTGTCTTGTTCTGTTTTGTTCGCATTTCCATTTATTTCTTCTTCTTTTCAGCCAAATGACGTCCACTTCTGGACAATGGCCTCCCCCAAGGCCATTTATTTATTTCTTTTCATTAAATACATACATTTTAGAAAATAAAACAAAACCGAACATGACGCTTCACTTTCTCATCCTCACATCATATTAGACAGTATAAATGCAGTAAATACTGCACTTAGGTCAATCAAAAAAGGTCTATATACCGTAGATATTACGGTTAGGTCATAGCTAGTCTCTTTGCAATCAAAGATTAGTCAATTTTTCAATTAGTCAAAAAATGTCATATCATAGCAACACTTTGTTTGTTTGCTGAAGTCTATTATGTAAAGAATTTCAAGTTTTCACGGCGAGAGTGAATAGGCACGTACAGGGCAGATATGTACCATCCTAGACTGCATCTCACTTAACACCAGGTGCGATTGCGCTCAAATACCTGCCTTGTCTAGCATACATTTTTTTTAAAAGTGATGTTGTCTTGTTCTGTTTTGTTCGCATTTCCATTTATTTCTTCTTCTTTTCAGCCAAATGACGTCCACTTCTGGACAATGGCCTCCCCCAAGGCCATTTATTTATTTCTTTTCATTAAATACATACATTTTAGAAAATAAAACAAAACCGAACATGACGCTTCACTTTCTCATCCTCACATCATATTAGACAGTATAAATGCAGTAAATACTGCACTTAGGTCAATCAAAAAAGGTCTACATACCGTAGATATTACGGTTAGGTCATAGCTAGTCTCTTTGCAATCAAAGATTAGTCAATTTTTCAATTACTCAAAAAATATCATATCATAGCAACACTTTGTTTGTTTGACGAAGTCTATTATGTAAAGAATTTCAAGTTTTCAAGGCGAGAGTGAATAGGCACTTACAGGGCAGATATGTACCATCCTAGACTGCATCTCACTTAACACCAGGTGCGATTGCGGTCAAATACCTGCCTTGTCTAGCATACATTTTTTTTAAAAGTGATGTCCTGTTCTGTTTTGTTCGCATTTCCATTTATTTCTTCTTCTTTTCAGCCAAATGGCGTCCACTGCTGGAAAAAGGCCTCCCCCAAGGCCATTTATTTATTTATTTTCATTTAGTTTTGTTTTATTTGCCTCCACTAATACATGATCACACATAAGTTAATTACCTGCCATTAAATACACGAATTTTAGAAAATAAAACAAAACCGAACATGACTCTTCACTTTCTCATCCCCGCGTCATATTAGACAATATAAATGCAGTCGATACTGCACCTAAGTCAATCAAAAAAGGTCCTTATACCGTAGATATCACGGTACGGTCATAAAATCACTTTGCAACCAAAGATTAGTCAATTATTCAATTAGTCAAAAAATGTCATATCATAGCAACACTTTGTTTGTTTGCTGAAGTCTATTATGTAAAGAATTTCAAGTTTTCACGGCGAGAGTGAATAGGCACGTACAGGGCAGATATGTACCATCCTAGACTGCATCTCACTTAACACCAGGTGCGATTGCGCTCAAATACCTGCCTTGTCTAGCATATATTTTTTTAAAGTGATGTTGTCCTGTTCTGTTTTGTTCGCATTTCCATTTATTTCTTCTTCTTTTCAGCCAAATGACGTCCACTGCTGGACAAAGGCCTCCCCCAAGGCCATTTATTTATTTATTTTCATTAAATACATAAATTTTAGAAAATAAAACAAAACCGAACATGACGCTTCACTTTCTCATCCCCACGTCATATTAGACAGTATAAATAAAATGCAGTCGATACTGCAGTTAGTCAATCAAAAAAGGTCCTTATACCATAATTATTACGGAACGGTCATAAAGTATCGTTGCAAACAAAGATTAGTCAATTTTTAATTAGTCAAAATAATTCATATAGGTAAGAGCAACAATTTGTTTGCTTCAGCAACTAGACTTCAGTCTATTGAAGCTATAAAGAGGCAAAACTGCTAAACTATCTCTTAAACTCAATGCGAAGATATTATACTCAAATTGAGCGCTATATTTTAACACTTTTACCCCTTTATTAGCGATTCTCAAGTATGATTTCTGTACGAGTAAAGAAATAAAATTTATGAATGGACAAACAGCACAAAAAACCAGGATTTTTGCCACCAGAGCGGCACCAGTGGCGGCAATATGGGATACTTTCGTTGATTTTGGCGTTTACCTTGAGATCCCTTTGCCTGGAATATTAAGCTGTACAAAAAATAGGTCTACAAGTTGAGTTATAGATTTTGTAGCTTCATCATAAACTTGTGCTCTAATAGAAATCATGCTTGCAAATCGCTTTTAAACACGTCCATAAAAATACGAATTTTAGTCATTCTTATATACCCGTAAATAAGAATGGCAAAAATACGGAAAAAGACTAAACACTTAGTCATTCTTCTTTCTTCTAGAAATCTGATATTAACGAAGCAAATTTTGGAAAGGTTAATTTAAAAAGAAAGAAGATAGAAGAATTTGCAGCAGAATTGGCTTCAAGGGGCGTGGCTTGACATTGAAATCGACTTGAAATTGACTTCAAATCTCGTTGAGAGGGCCCCAGAACATCTTGGACACGCGGGTCTCGTCCTCCGTGAAGAAGAAGTCTTTGCCAAGCTTCACGAACTCTTTGAGAGACAGCTTGCCGTCCTGTAAAAGGTGAGAGAATGTTTAATAAACTTAATTAGTCTTTATAATAAGGTAGGGTTCTTAGACCTGGAAGAACGTAGTGGTTTAGTGCATTCAGTCCCCTCCTCCAGTCAAAATTATTTATTTGTCGTATCGAGCAGTCTGGAATGCATTCTCTCAGCGGTCGCAGGTTTTTTATACATATAAGTACACAGATGGCCCGCGCCCCCCTTTAAAGGTCTGCGCCTCCTCTGGGGGCGCGCCCCACTCTTTGGGAACCAATGGCTTAGAGCTTAACGCGCTTTTTGAAGAAAGTAATCCTTACAATAGTAGTTAAGTTTGTTACACCGTGTCATTTTTAGCTTAGGTCATATTTGTGATTAGGGAACCTATATAGGTTAACTATAGCACAACGGCGTCGGTTTCAGACTTGCCGACTCCAGATCGGAGGAATGCTGGTTCGAACCCTATCGTCCGGTGGACTAGTGTGGTGAACCCACTCCTAAATACGAGTATATGCTTGTTCAAAGCTACATTAACTAAGCTGGAGAGGTTAGGGTTTTTTTCTTTTAAAAATAATCACAAACTTACCCCATTAGTGTCTATGACTGCAAAAGCAACGGCCGCGTGTTCATTGTCCAGCCCGAGGCACTCGAAGAAAAGCTTGAACTCCTTCACCGAGATGAACCCTGATTTGTCCTTGTCCACCGCCTGGGAAAACGAAACAAGGGTTATAAAAACATCGTACTTAATCATCAGGCCATCTCCATTGTCCATTGTCCTGTAGGACGCTGGATGACCCTCTCAATTTACCAGAGGCAAATAGAGAATTTGGACAAACGGATTTGGGGAGATATAAGCTCGAAAGTTAACTTTAAATAGGCTTTTTTTCGAAGTAGGCTGAACTGCTAGAAAAAAATCACCATTAATTTATATCCGCTGATACCAAAACTAGAAAAACTTCGTTAATTTTAAAGAGGACACTACTAGCTTTAAGCGGTGTAGCATCGCTTGCGTGGGTTTCAATCCCTCACAAAGTTTGAAACTTCGTTTCCATTTTAGTTTTTCGTTAGAAGACAGCCTATGTGCATCTCTGTATTCCTATATTTACACACTGTGGCACCTGATCACAATAGAGGCGATTTTGCATAATCATCATCATTTCAGCCATAGGACGTCCACTGCTGAACACAGGCCTCCCCCAATTTATCAGGGCGTTGGTCCACCTTGCGGGTGGACGTCTCACGCTGCGTTTTCCGGTACGCGGCCTCCATTCCAGAACCTTGCTGCCCCATCGATTTTACAAGTTGCAACAAAAATGTTTGAACAATTACTAGCTATTTGGGATTTATATTTATTTACTTAAAAGAATTCCTCAAACGCATTATAGAAATGTAAAAACACCTGGTTATGAATAAAGAAATTTGAATTACCTTGAACAAGTACGGCAGCCACCTGTGCGCCTTCTTCTTCAGCGTCTTGTCATTCAGCACATGATGCATGTCCTCCAAGTACTGCTCCACCGTGACGTAGTTGTACGGGTCTATGGCGCCCCACTGCTCCTCCCATGTCATCTGGAAAGTTAACAGCAGTTAGTTTTGTTCTCTATATAAATTGGCAGTAGAGTTTTAAATAAATTTGTGCTTATAGATGGGCAGGATGTAGTTACAAACGGTATAAGCCGTGTGACTCTGACAGAGTAGTTGAAAAGGACCACCCCCACGCATGCCAAAGATGTCGTCCAAACGACTGAGGGATAAGTATGCGAGCATCAGGCTTCCCCAACCCGCTTGGTCAGCGTGGGGAGTATAGTATAGGTCAATCACTTGCAGAGGAGACTGAATAAATAATATAATGAACAAGATGTCACAAGATATTTGTAATTGTTTTCAAGGAGATGGTTCCCACTCATGCTTGGTCTGTCAATTGTAATTTGCTCCTATCTTTTACGTTGTTGATTAAGACTAGGACATATCGATTTAAGCTTATCACAGTCCACTACTGGACTTAAGCCTTTCTCAAGAAGCACTACAAAGCTTGAGTCTTAACGTTTACCCATCGGCGATTTGCCTAACCCATATTCTCAAATCCCATCCTATCTTTGAAATCACTCACCTTAATAATATCACTGAACTCCTTAGCCTGCTGCTCGTCCAGATGTCCTAACGCCTTGAACCGCTCGCCGAAGAGCACGAAGTCGTTGAAAGAGATCAAGCCGTCCTTGTCTACGTCCAGAATGTTGTGGACGGTGCGCATCTTGCGCCGCCAGAAGTCTGACTGTGGAGGAAAACATGGTTTAGTTTGATGGTCGAAAAACATCAGGAGGTATAAGAATTCCCCTTCTGCAAATGAAGACTAAGTACATAGCTAGTTAGCCCCTCGTGCTAAGCTAAATTTTAATATGCTTGTGTTACTAGTGGGTTAACCACAATAGTCCAGTGGCGGTTTCGAACCAGCGGTCCTCAGATAACGACTTCACGAGTCGGCTAGTCCAACATCTTCCCCGTTCGACTATAGTCTTGAATTAGTTACACTCCGCGGGGAATTGACAAAAGAATTACGTCTTGATCTTATTACTCTATGAGCCTGTTGTTTCCACCATCGTGAAAGATGCAGGTTAGTTTGACAACATTGCATATCCCTACTTTTAGGAAATTTTTCCTTGGGGTTTACCGTTACCTCTAAGCAGGAGATAGGTAACAGGATGGGTCTATTCCCACCTCTCGTTCCCCTCGTTGCAACCCCGTTATAGCCAGGTTTTACAGCTTGACCGACAATAGAAACCCAACCAATGAAGGTCAAGTTAGTCTCGGGAGAAACTTAAACTGTCATTGGACCCACAACAAAATTACACACAGGAGGAGTTCGAAGGATATACAGAAATAGGCGTGCTTGTAGTGGATTGGGTAATCAAGAATCAAAAGTCTTCTCACCCTATCCAATCCTTTGCACTCGGTGTCAGAATCTGACGAGCTATCGCTGTCGCTCTGCCGTTTCCGGCGGTCTTCTTCAGGCCTGCCGTGGTGCTTGCTGTAGCTACGACGAAGGGCGCTGCAGGCGTCTGTCAGGTCACCATCGCTGGACCGCTCCTGGAGGTAGCAGACGCCGTTGTGGCATACTGGTTTAGTGTGGATTAACTGGAAAGAAAAGATATTAAGTTTAGAAATATAGTAGACTAGCTTTCCGCCCGCGGCTTCGCCCGCGTGGAATTTTGTCTGTCACAGAAAAACTTTATCGCGCGCATCCCTGTTTCAAAAACCGGGATAAAAACTATCCTATGTTCTTTCCCGGGACTCAAACTATCTCTATGCCAAATTTCATCAAAATCGGTTGCGATGTTTAAGCGGGAAAGCGTAACAGACAGACAGACAGACAGACAGACAGAGTTACTTTCGCATTTATAATATTAGTTGGNAATCAAAAAAGGTCCTTATACCATAGACATTACGGTACGGTCATAAAGTCACTTTGCAACCAAAGATTAGTCAATTTTTCAATTAGTCAAAAAATGACATTAGCAACACTTTGTTTGTTTGCTGAAGTCTATTATGTAAAGAATTTCTAGTTTTCAAGGCGAAAGTGAATAGGCACTTACAGGGCAGATATGTACCATCCTAGACTGCATCTCACTTAACACCAGGTGCAATTGCGCTCAAATACCTGCCTTGTCTAGCATTTTTTTTTAAAAGTGATGTTGTCCTGTTCTGTTTTGTTCGCATTTCCATTTATTTCTTCTTCTTTTCAGCCAAATGACGTCCACTGCTGGAAAAAGGCCTCCCCCAAGGCCATTTATTTATTTATTTTCATTAAATACATAAATTTTAGAAAATAAAACAAAACCGAACATGACACTTCACTTTCTCATCCCCACGTCATATTAGACAGTATAAATGCAGTCGATACTGCACTTAGTCAATCAAAAAAGGTCCTTATACCATAGATATTACGGTACGGTCATAAAGTACCTTCGCAATCAAAGATTAGTCAATTTTTTAATTAGTCAAAATAATTCATATAGGTAAGAGCAACAATTTGTTTACTTCAGCAACTAGACTTCAGTCTATTGAAGCTATAAAGAGGCAAAACTGCTAAACTATCTCTTAAACTCAATGCGAAGATATTATACTCAAATTGAGCGCTATATTTTAACACTTTTACCCCTTTATTAGCGATTCTCAAGTATGATTTCTGTACGAGTAAAGAAATAAAATTTATGAATGCACAAACAGCACAAAAAACCAGGATTTTTACCACCAGAGCGGCACCAGTGGCGGCAATATGGGATACTTTTATTATTTTTGGCGTTTGCCAAAACATTACCTCGAGATCCCTTTGCCTGGAATATTAAGCTTTATGCCTTAAAATCTACAAGTAAGTTATAGATTTTGTGGCTTCATAGACTTGTGCTCTAACAGAAATTATGCTTGCAAATCCCTTTTAAACACGTCAATACAAATACGAATTTTAGTCATTCTTACCCGTAAATAAGAATGACAAAAATACGAAAGACTAAACAATTACTTATTCTTCTTTCTTCTAGAAATCTGATATTAACGAAGCAAATTTTGGAAAGGTTAATTTAAAAAGAAAGAAGAATTTGCAGCAGAATTGGCTTCAAGGGGCGTGGCTTAAGGACTTCAAATCTCGTTGAGAGGGCCCCAGAACATCTTGGACACGCGGGTCTCGTCCTCCGTGAAGAAGAAGTCTTTGCCAAGCTTCACGAACTCTTTGAGAGACAGCTTGCCGTCCTGTAAAAAGTGAGACAATGTTTAATAAACTTAATTAGTCTTTATAATAAGGTAGGGTTCTTAGACCTGGAAAAACGTAGTGGTTTAGTGCATTCAGTCCCCTCCTCCAGTCAAAATTATTTATTTGTCGTATCGAGCAGTCTGGAATGCATTCTCTCAGCGGTCGCAGGTTTTTTATACATAAGTAGGTACACAGATGGCCCGCGCCCCCCTTTAAAGGTCTGCGCCTCCTCTGGGGGCGCGCCCCCCTCTTTGGGAACCAATGGCTTAGAGCTTAACGCGCTTTTTGAAGAAAGTAATTCTTACAATAGTAGTTAAGTTTGTTACACCGTGTCATTTTTAGCTTAGGTCATATTTGTGATTAGGGAACCTATATAGGTTAACTATAGCACAACGGCGTCGGTTTCAGACTTGCCGACTCCAGATCGGAGGAATGCTGGTTCGAACCCTATCGTCCGGTGAACTAGTGTGGTGAACCCACTCCTAAATACGAGTATATGCTTGTTCAAAGCTACATTAACTAAGCTGGAGAGGTTAGGGTTTTTTTCTTTTAAAAATAATGACAAACTTACTCCATTAGTGTCTATGACTGCAAAAGCGACGGCCGCGTGTTCATTGTCAAGCCCGAGGCACTCGAAGAAAAGCTTGAACTCCTTCACCGAGATGAACCCTGATTTGTCCTTGTCCACCGCCTGGGAAAACGAAACAAGGGTTATAAAAACATTGTACTTAATCATCAGGCCATCTAGTCCCCATTACAGGACGCTGGATGACCCTCTCAATTTACCAGAGGCAAATAGAGAATTTGAACAAACGGATTGCGGAGACATATTATAAGCTCGAAGAAACCTTATAGGACAATTTTTTTTCGATGGAGGCTGAACTGCTAAAAAAAATTACTATTTATATCCGCTCATACCAAAACTAGAAGAACTTCTGTAATTTTAAAGAGGACACTACTAGTTTTAAGCGGTGTAGCTTCGGTTGCGGTTTTAGTCCCTCAGAAAGTCTAAGTCTGAAACTTTTGTCTCCTATCTTACCTCGTTTCCATTTTAAATAGTTTTTTTTAGAAGTACCTACCTACTACTGTATTCGTATTCACTGTGGCACTTGATCAAAAAAGAGGCGATTTTACATCATCATCATCATCATTTCAGCCATAGGACGTCCACTGCTGAACATAGGCCTCCCCCAATGATTCCACATCGCACGGTTGGTAGCGGCCTGCATCCAGCGCCTTCCTGCTACCTTTATCAGGTCGTTGGTCCACCTTGTGGGTGAACGTCCCACGCTGTGTTTTCCGGTACGCGGCCTCCATTCCAGAACCTTGCTGCCCCATCGATTTTACAAGTTGCAACAAAAATGTTTGAACAATTACTATTTGGGATTTATATTTATTTATTTACTTAAAAGAATTCCTCGATCGCAATATAGAAATGTAAAAACACCTGGTTATGAATAAAGAAATTTGAATTACCTTGAACAAGTACGGCAGCCACCTGTGCGCCTTCTTCTTCAGCGTCTTGTCATTCAGCACGTGATGCATGTCCTCCAAGTACTGCTCCACCGTGACGTAGTTGTACGGGTCTATGGCGCCCCACTGCTCCTCCCACGTCATCTGGAAAGGTTAACGGGAGTCAGTTTTGTACCCTGTTCAATGGGCAACGGGACTATTCCCACCGCTGCAATTCCTCTGTAGTCAGGATCTACAACTTGAGCGCCAATAAATACCCAACCAGTGAAAGTCAAGTTTGTCCCGGGGGAAAGTTAAACTGTTATTGGGTAGTAGAGTTCTAATTGGTGTAATTGGTTACAACATGTAGTTGCAAACGGTATACGCCGTGTGGTACTGACAGCGTAGAATAAGACCAACCCACCTTCCCGTGGATGTCATATAAAGCAACTAAGGGATAATTGCCTAAAATCAGGCTTCCCTAACCCGCGGCTGGTTAGCGTGGGGAGTGAAGGCTTAATATTCCATTTGCCTCTGGTAAATAAGAGAAAGTCGTACGCCTACAGCGGAAACTAAATGGCCTAATGATGATGATGTTACAAGATATTTGCAAATGTTTTATGAATATGGTTCCTAACCATGCTCGATATCACGTAGTCTGTCAATTATTATGATCTTCTCTTTTGCGCTACTGATTTTGACTAGGGGTACTTGAAGTTTTCAGCTAATTGCATTCCACTACTGGACGTAAGCCTTTCCTTAAGACTTTGTGCTGCACACAGCATTATCCATCGGCAATTTGCCTAGCTTATTTCTCCAATGTTCCATCCTATCTTTAAATTCACTCACCTTAATAATATCAATGAACTCCTTAGCCTGCTGCTCGTCCAGATGTCCTAACGCCTTGAACCGCTCGCCGAAGAGCACGAAGTCGTTGAAAGAGATCAGGCCGTCCTTGTCTACGTCCAGAATGTTGTGGACGGTGCGCATCTTGCGCCGCCAGAAGTCTGACTGTGGAAGAAAGTAGGGTTAAGTTTGATGATCAAAACAACCTTCAGAAGTTATAGGAATTCCTCTTCTGCAAATGAAGACTAAGTACATGCCCCTCGTACAAAGCTAAATTTTAATATAACTGTTACGGTTAATGTGATAAATTGAAAATTATGAATAATCGCCGGTTATTATGAATAATTACCTCATGATTTGGTAAAAGTTATTAATATGAGATCATTTATGTGTGTAAAAAACTAAATAGGCGGCTTAGGGGTGGCGGATCACATTTACCGTAACATAACCACAATAGTCCAGTGGCGGTTTCGAACCAGCGTTCCTCAGATCACGAGTCGGCCAATGCAACACCTTCCTCGTTTACTATTGTCGCGTGGAACTAGCTACACTCCGCGGGGAATGTACGAAAGAGTTACATTTATTACTCTACTAGCCTGTTGTTTCCACAATTGTGAAAGATGCAGGTTAGCGTGATATTGCATGTCCCTACTTTGTAGACATTTTTCCTGGGGGTTTACCGTTACCTCTAAGCAGGAGATAGGTAACAGGATGGGTCTATTCCCACTTCTCGTCCCTTCCACTATGTTACTCCTGTGTATCCAGGTTTTACAGCTTGACCGACAATAGAAACCCAACCAATGAAGGTCAAGTTAGTCTCGGGAGAAACTTAAACTGTCATTGGACCCACAACGAAATTAATCCGAACACAGGAGGAGTTCGAAGGGTATACAGCAATAGGCATGCTTGTAGTATAATGGCTTAAGCATCAGCAAGTCTTCTCACCCTATCCAATCCTTTGCATTCCGTGTCAGAGTCTGACGAGCTATCGCTGTCGCTCTGCCGTTTCCGGCGGTCCTCTTCAGGCCTGCCGTGGTGCTTGCTGTAGCTACGTCGAAGGGCGCTGCAGGCGTCTGTCAGGTCACCATCG